ATATGGAGATTTCATGATGTGCTTATTTCGAGCTCTCGTTCAATATTTAAGAGACTGTAAGAAACTTGAGAAAACTTGGATATTGTGCTGAGATGTAAATTATGAAGCTTCAAAACATTTAAGCGTTATTTCTGCTTAATGTTGACCGTTGATCACATGTCCTTAAGTACTGCCTTCATAGTGTATATGAATTTCATTCCAGTGCCCTAACAACATTTACTAAATTGATTTACAATAGGAAGGATCACATACCTCCTCCAACTCATCGTCGATTGAGAATTCAGATTTTGGCAAACGAAGGCTCTCAGGGCATTGCGTTGTTTTCGGCGTCTCGGGTTCTTTATGTGGTTCATAAACACTGAACTCAGTGTCTTCCATTTCGCAAACGTCCGGAAGTGCGGGAGTGTTGCTGCCTGCTTCCCTGTGACTATGCGGATGCAAATTAGTGCTTGATGAGGAATCCAGGAGCAGTTCCTGAGCTGGAATTTCGAAAGCTGGCGACTTCGCAGGTGAACTCTCCACCGGCTGAGGATCAGTGATTGTTTCGGGATCCTCTTTGACGCTCACTGAAGGCAAAGTTGTAGAGAGCCAAAACAGAATGCAACTGATATCCTTACGTGTACTTGAGCGTTGATTTCCGCTGGAAGGACATTCAGTTGCAAGGTGAGCTGACTCCTGCAAATTAGCTGATTCAATTAAAGCGGCAGCAGAGCGTAAAGAGGAGATATGAATAATTTACATAGAGATATGAGTAAGGTCTGGCGTATACTCCACTTTCCGCAGCCTCTTCTTCTTGACGGAATGCAACGTCCACCTATACTTGTGAATTTTGGCATGTGAGATAGACAGTCATGGCATGATAGTACCCCAAAACAACGATGTTTTGACTGATTAAGTGAAACTAACCTCATAAAATATTGATGAACTGCATATTGCAACGTTGGGTTTCCTCTCTGATTTGGATGCATTTTCGGTGACAGGTAGATTAGTTCTTTCACAATTTATCGTTGGTGGAGTAGGTTGACTATTGGCTTGCGCAGATGGAATAATCAAAGTTGGGCCAATAGTCGTGAAATGCTTGAGGAATTTCTAAAGGTAGAGAGATTATGGTAGAAAGATTCTAAATTTTGAAAGTAGAAATCTCTAATATTAAGGTTTAAAATTGGAACAGGTACTATTAAGTTTTGCAGTGCTATTACATAATATAAAGGTGCCTCCAAATGTGCCCGCTTTTGACGTTGGCGATTCCTTGATTTCCAAATCTCTACTAGGCCTCATTAGTCCATTTTAGAGGATTAACTAGAACTTGGATTCTCACTCACACTTCCCTTCCACTCCAGGGAATTGTGGTGCAAGGATAAAAGGCCTTGGCTGCTATCTTTAAGCCAATAACAGTAGTGATTTACGTCAGTGCTAGGGCCACCCAGAATTTTGTAGTGCAATCCTAGCTTAAGGGAAAAATTCAAAATTCGTATTCAAATGCACATTTAAGATCAGCTAGCCCTTCAAGAATCACCAGGGCCTAGAGAGGATAACAATTAAGAAATAGTGGGCACTTATTTTTGAGCCTATAACTGAAAATACTACTACTTTCGCTCAGCTCCTATGTATGATGCTGAGATTGCCAGACGCTGACAAAGAAATACATTATCGCAAGATGATAGATGCAATTCAGAAGGCTAATTCCACATTTACCTCCCATAAGCATTTTCTGGATGACGTTGTAGAGGGTTTTTCTTCGTGAAATAGTTTTATGTTAATGCCAATAATTTACCTTAAATTGCACATTAATCTTGGTTTATAATGCAGAGGACTATTTTTAGAAAACTCGTTTCTGCCATGAATACTGAGGTTTTGCAATGGGTTGAACTCAGAATTGAATTCTGAGCCTTGTTGCAGGAAGTCTATGCTATTTTTGAAACATCGATCGATATTTGAGAAAACGCTTTATGATAGAGGCTAACTCAAAACCAGTGTTTCAGGCTGCACCTGAAGTTGCGTATTACGTTTCAACCGTCATTTCAACAAGTATCCTTTCTTTATGAGACAAACTGAGAACAAATGTATAACAATCAGTAGCATGAGTTTCATTCTGAAAAATATGAATCGCTCAAAAAGAGCTAGATGCTCTTCCCCGTTACAGATATTATGATCGATATGATATCAAATGGGAGGTGCTGAGGATTCCATTTCATGCAATCACTTTTTTTATAAGGATAATGCATCTCTGTCCAAGAGCAACTTGAATGGTTAAGCTTTCAAGCTTCAAATCGGGACTCACATTGAACCATATAGGTCTTTCCTCATCGGGCCACATTTGTAATGTATCATAACGAGCAACAGGACGTTCGAATGGAAACCGAAGATGACAGACGCCATTGAGCGCTTGCTAAAATAGAATCCACTTTGCCAACGAGAGGAGGCAAAAAAACATAAATCGAAAGACTGATACTTATACTATATCATTCACCATTATTATTTGGTAGATCGGATTTCTGTTGTTCACTTGTCCTTCGGTATGATTCCGTGCGAGCCGGATGTGCGCTCGGATTTGTGCTATTGTTTTACAGGGCAGTAGCATTTTTTGAACCCAGTACAACCTTAAATTTTAAGAAGTAACAGTGCTACAATCGCGGAATGTACAAATTCTACATCAGATATTGATGAATTTTTCCTCAGCATCAAATCTTTTATACGGAAAAATTCACCAGCCGTAGAAATCTTTTTAAGCATACACAGAAGCGAAGGTGTTTTTTTTAAAAATTCCAAGGGTTCACCTTCCAAAAGGATCATGACCAGTAGATTGCGGGATGTGACGAAACTGTATGAGAGCATGCGCCAGTAAAAGATCTTCTCCCGGCGTAAAAAACTGATGGGAATATTCAAAAAGATCTGGCTGTACGCCAGGTATGAGGTCTGGATAGATGATAGCACGACTTCGGCCTAATACTAAGGCTGCTTCTGGTCGGGGCGACCAACCTGCAAACTATCTTTCCGTTTAAAAAATGCAGCGAACAATAAAACTAACCAAATGGATTTGGGTCCCATTTAACTTGCTCTGCCCCGACAGGAGTTACAGCCATTATATCATGACAAGACTCAATCGCACCGGCAAGGTTATATATATTGAAGAGCGATGATTCACCAGCTTCGTAAAAGTAAGAGTCGAGCGAGTTCTAAACATTTAAGCATTGTTTGCTAGCGCGATAGCCGAAGCAAATCATTCAGCAAAGTCAAGCTAATTTTCGAGAAATATAGAACAAACAAATTTGTTATGGACTCACGATCATTAACTGATATTCATTTTTCACGTGTAGTAATCGATCGTCATGAAAACACATCACAACTGATTGAGTAAGAAGCTGTACATGCTGGAAGAACAAAAATCTGCAGCATGATATCCCAGATAAAGTTTGAGGAAGTGGAAAAAACTGTATCCTGACTCTCCTATAAGAGATCAATGTGGTATGCAAATTCAAAAAAGCCTGCGCCCTCATCGTAAGAGGAGGTGGCACGATATGCCAGATCGCGAAACAGCGCTAAATTTTATCTTCGATAAACTTTCCCAAGCTAAAAAAATTCAAAATTGTTATTCTGCGTTTCTAGTTTCGACTGTTTTTACTGCACACTAAAAATTTCAGGGAAGTTTTGCATTACACAGTTACTCCTTATGTCGAGACAAGGGCGATTAGTAGAGGGATGACCTCACCCAACTTAAAAGGTGCTTAGGCAAGAGCTCGTCGCAAATATTGTGCATACTTACTATGCCTATCAATACATATTTCACCAAAGCTGTTCATCTTCGCCTTATAGAAAGATGAAATCACTTAATTGAATAAGGAAGATCTACAAAGTAATGTGAGATTCTGGTAGATCGTGAGTCACCATCAATCCTTCCGAAGAGTATCAGTGAAAAAAACACTTTACGAGAAAAGATGAAGTTTATGATGAACGCCTGGAGCGAAGTAAGTAAGATGATAGAAAAGATCCACTTGGTGAACCTTCTTGCGCTCAATCCAAACATTTAGAAGTAGTAGTAGAAGTGAGAGATGAACTAAGTACGAGGCAGAGCAATACGAATTTGAGGAAATACATGAAGAACTGATTGAATGACGGTAAGTAACTAAATGAATCAACTTGACGCAGTCTTAAGTTAATTCATTTAGTTAGTTGTCAGTTGTTAGTTTAGTCATTCAATTACAACTTTGGCTCAGCTACCTTTACTTCTATCTAAAAGAGAAGAGAACAACTTCTGCGCTCCTCGAAGTCATTAAGTACACTAGCAGCGTTGTAGGTTGTATGCTGTATTTTGTAGGCGGAATTTGCAGTTCGAAGATAATAAAAACATATGGTTTGTGATCCAGTAGAAAATGTAACACAGGATAGTCCGCTGAGGTGAAAAGAAGAGGCAGGAAAAGAAACTCTAAAGACTAAGCAGTGGTTGTTTCAGAACGAACAAGCGAGATCAAAAAATAGATGTGTTGATGGGTAAGGTGAACAAAAGGAGGAAGTGCAAAAAAATCAAGCTATCTGGTAAAGAATTTAGACTAAGATTTTGTGCAAACTTATATGAACCTATGAGACTTTTGCAGGCTATGACAGAAGATAAAGGCACTGCCTGATAAATCTTAAATTCAAGTTTTATTTGTCAAGGTACTTTCAAACTAAGCTCCCTTCCTTATGACAGTAAACACAGTTAACAACTTTCCTAGAAATAAAAAACACTGGATGAGTAAAGCTATATATACAAAAGGTTATTTCTGCAGAAGACTGCACAACAAAGTAGATTTATGCTTGTAAAGAAATGGAAAACATAAATTCGGGTCCCCTATCCACACAGATTCATGACAATTTAACTTTATTTAATGAAAAGACAAACGAACATTTTATGAGGAACATTTTCAGGTAGAGAAAGTATCAGAATGCGTCAGATCTGCACATCACAGCAGAAACATTATACTACGCTACTAGAGCCACATAAGGGCTTTTGCAATCTTTTCATATAATTTAAATGAGTGGGGGAGACGAAAATGCCAAATATACCTTTATTGCCGCGTTGCGAAAAGTTTTCAATGAAAGAAGCTTTTTGCAGCTTTGATCGTTCTCAAGAGTGCCTTCTTTTTCGTATGTTTTCGGCGACGTCTTAAACTCGCAAATAGACACTTATAAATGAGTTTCCTAACGGATGAAAGCCCAATATCAAAAACTGAACAGAAGCAATCTTAAATACCGGATTGATGGAGGTCCATGCGAAGAAACTGCCAATTAGAAGTTGGTAGTACATGGAATTGCTAATAAGCTATAAAACTATAGTGAAACCTCATTTCTGATATTCTTTTGATAGCAACGTGAGAGCACCGGTGCACTAAGTATCAGAGCAAAAACATCTAAATAGAATTATCGCACGCTGAAGCGATGCAACATTAGCGATGTTATTCGGTGTGCAAAATTTAGAACAATACTCGCTTTGCTCCCCATCAATAGGAGGTTGCAATATATATCGTGAGTTTGCAAAAAAAA